CAATATTAAATCATTGATACTCATGTTACAGAACTGAAATATGGCTTTTAATAGTGAATGTAATGGGAAATTGTCCGGTTTTAATGAGACCATTAAAGCTACACTGCCATACTAGAGAGTGATTTTTATCAGAATAATTTCTACATGAAATAATATAAAAGATACGGGAAGACTAAAAATCATCAGTTTCTTTACATATCAAACAGTTAAAAGACAGAAACCCAGTGATTTTTTTACATAATATCCAGTATCCAAGCACTCAGCTTCCTTCTAGAGCACATATTGTTTTACAGCTACTGAAATTCAGATGATTCAAGTATAGATTTTTACAAACCATGCAAAAACCAATCCTCAACTTCCACCTTTATACTTTAAAAGTGTTTTTGTATAATTTGACAAATTCATTGAAGCAAGTGAATAATTTATAAGAGAATATGTTTAAATGACTTAATTTCTATATATTGTCTATTTCATGAAAAACAACAACATGATTTTTATGGTGTACTGGTTTGGAATCAGTTTAAAGACAAGGCCAGTTTCCACGAAAAACAAGTTCCAGACAAGACCAGTTTCTGAACAAGACCAGTTTCCAGACAATAACAGACAAGACCACTTCCCACATAAAACAACTTCCTGACAAGACCAGTTTCCAGACAAGACCAGTTAGCACATAAAACAACTTCCTTCTGAACAAGATAAGCTTCCAGGCAAGAACAGTTTCCAGACAAGAACAGTTTCTAGACAAGAACAGTATCCAGACAAAACAACTTCTGGCAAGACCAGCTTCCAGACAAGACCAATTTTCAGACAAGACTAGTTTCTGGCAAAGCAAGTTTCCAGACAAGACTAGTTTCCACACAAAACAACTTCTAGACAAGACCAGTTTCCAGACAAGACCAATTTCCAGACAAGACTAGTTTCTGGCAAGACCAGTTTCCAGACAAGACCAATTTCCAGACAAGACTAGTTTCTTGCAAGGCCAGTTTACAAACAAGACCAATTTCCAGACAAGACTAGTTTCTGGCAAGGCCAGTTTACAGACAAGACCAGTTTCCTTAACAAAACCAATTTCCAGACAAGACATCTACCAGACAAGACCGGTTTCCAGAAAAGACTAGATTATGGCTTTAATACTAATCTTGAAGCTCTTTCCTCAGGAAGGCTGGTTTTATTAATTTGAAAAGTCAACATTTTTCCATGTTTATACATCATTAAATCATAAAAATATGTTCCACGTGTTTTGAAAACAAATTTTCATCTTTTGGGGGTAGCAGTTTTCTCTGTACTTGTACAATAATTATTTATTTTGGGACATTAATAAGAATAACAAGCTGCTTTTAATAAACTTATTTCACAACCAAATCTGTATGAATCAATATTTCCAATTTTTGCTCTGGATAAATATAATGTTTAAAGCTGCTATAGAAAGGACATATAGTTGATGGCTGACTCCAACCATAATTATTGCTGCTAGGGGTACACATCAACAACACAGTGTATTATCTTTGGTCTACATCATTTAGCTACAAATCATGTATCTACAATTTACTTTATAAATCAGGCACTGATGATGTGCAGTTACAACTTAATTCCTTGTAAATCAAGTAACAATCTCCCAAATTGTCACTGACCTAACCCGTCTCCCACTGTGGATGTCAGAATCTGGATTAATTGTTGCACATGTGGAGACAACACTCGGATGGCCTACAGCGTCTTATATAGGCAGATACCTAATCTGTATTTGACATATTAAAGCCAAGTAAGCTTGGAATTCTGGTGATGTTGATTTGTCTTACTAGCGCAAAATAGCGCAATAGAAATAAACAAGATTACATTCTAATAGCCCAAATCACAATAGAAGATGATAATGCTTCCGTTTCATGAAAAAATCAGCATCAATTTGTAGACGTTACAGATAACAAGAGGGCCATGATGGCCCTGAGGTTGCTCACCTGTATATAGGCCCCCTGAGCGGGGCCAGTTTAAACCCCAGGGCTTTTATTTGAACAAACTTGGAAGACACCCATAAGAAGTTAAGTTTTTACTACACACACATAATGAAAAACAATGATCTGCCCCCTCCCCCACCCCCAGCAGGGCCAATTTTAACCCAAGGGCTTTTATTTGAACAAACTTGGTAGACACCCATAAGAAAATGTTTCATGCTAAACATCTAAGCTGTAGCTCATTCACATATAGTTAAAAACATTTTTTAAGTTTTTACTATTCACATTTGACCCCAGGGCTTTTATTTGAACAAACTTTGTAGACACTTACTAGAACATGTTTCATGCTTAATATCTAAACTCTAGCTATTTGGGTTTTTTCAAAGAAGATTTTTAAATTTTTGCTATACACATATAATGAAAATCAATGACCCCCGGGGCAGGGCCAATTTTGACCCCAGGGCTTTTATCTGAACAAACTTTGTAGACACTCACTAGAAGATGTTTCATGCTTAATATATTAACTCTAGCTATTTAGGTTTTTTCAAAGAAGATTTTTTAAGTTTTTGCTATACACATATATAAGTATAAATCAATGACCCCCGGGGCGGGGCAAATTTTGACCCCAGGGCTTTTATTTGAACAAACTTGGTAGACACCCATTAGAACATGTTTCATGCTAAATATCTTAGCTCTAGCTCTTTGAGTTCTTTAAAAGAAGATTTTTAAGTTTTTAATATATGCATATAGGGAAAATCAATGACCCCCAGGGGAGGGGCCAATTTTGACCCCAGGGCTTTTATTTGAACAAATTTGGTAGACACCCATAAGATGATGTTTCATGCTAAATATCTTAGCTCTTTTGGTTCTTTAAAAGAAGATTTTTTAAGTTTTTACTATATGCATATAGGAAAAATCAATGACCCCCTGCGGCGGGGCCAATTTTGACCCCAGGACTTTTATTTGAACAAACTTTGTAGACACTCACTAGAAGATGTTTCATGCCAAATATCTAAGCTCTAGCTCTTTGGGTTTTTTAAAAGAAGATATTTAAAGTTTTTTCTTTCGGTTGCCATGGCAACAAGAGTTCTGCATGGAATAAAAATTCTTTGAACAATTTTTAAAGGTGACCACCAAAGGAACATTCCTGTGAAGTTTGGATGAAATTGGCTCAGTGGTTTATGAGGAGATGTCATTTAAAGTAAAAGCGATCACAAAAGCTCACCCTGCTCACTTTGTGACAGGTGAGCTAAAAATTATAAACACTGGCAAATATTTGTGTTGTGAAGAAAGGTTTTCCCGCAATTTTTCAGTCTTTGAGAATTTAGAAGTGCTAAATCTAAATAAAATTATTCTGCATTGGTTAATACATTCAAGAATTCAGACACTTTTTCTTTTTTATATGATTTTTTAAAAATTGTTTCTAAGCAGCCATCATAGGCAATATGCATGAACATGAAGAGATTCAAAGACAGAGAAAAGTAGTAGATTATAGTACAGCCTATTTATAAAATAATGAGCTGCGTCATGACAAAACCAACATAGTGTGTTTGCGACCAGCATGGATCCAGACCAGCCTGCGCATCCGCGCAGTCTGATCAGGACCCATGCTGTTCGCTATCAGTTTGTCTACTTGCTATAGGGTTTGTAAGTGAACAGCATGGATCCTGATCAGACTGCACAGATGCGCAGGCTGGTCTGGATCCATGCTGGTCGCAAACGCACTATGTTGGTTTTGTCATTACGCGGCTCTAATACCTGTGAAAATTATTTTATCAACACCTTATTAAATGCCATGAAGCTGGTACTCCAAGTGGGAGTTTAAAAATTTTCTGACCTTATTAAACCCTCACATATTCATAACTAATATCTCCCAGAAGTACATGTAATAAGTTAGGTTTCAGAAATGGCATGAGCTCACGTGTTTCCATCGTTTATGTCATCAATGAAGGATTATATGTTTTTAAAAATTATTAATCAGAAAAACCTAAAATTTTGTCTGAAAACTGGTTTCAGTACTGTTGTAAGAATAATCCTAGTGTGGATATGTTGTTCAGATGGTAATAAACTTAATATTCATTTCAGAAATATATCTCAAGTATTTTCATTTAAAACTAGATCATCTGATATGTAAAGCTTACTCTTCAAAATAAAATCATGTCCAGTGGATTTTTTCAGTATATAATTATGTACTGTCATATTTATAAATTTAAGACTATCATATGTAACATCCAAACATATATTGTGTTGTATTTTAAAAAAAATCTAGATAATACAGGGCCCTCATTTTGCAATTTTTGGGACCAAAATTTGGCCCAATATTTCACTCCTTAAATAGTATATATTTTCCCCTTATTTTCGAAAAAAAATCATCGAAGTTGTTTTTTCTCTCTCCCTTTTTTAAAGTTTACATTTTATAACATAAGACCCTTAACAACATCATAATTCATGAAATTTGATCTTTGCCAAAGAGAATATGTTAATATACTTCACATTATGAGTATTTTTGTTGACAGGCAAAATTAATGTTTTCTTAAAAGCAACAAGAAATTCCCCTCCCTAAGAGCCCTGATCATGTCCCCTAAAAGGTATTTAGAGCCCTGTACTAGACTTTAAACACGCAATGACAATGGGCGGTTATTTGTATTAACTGTTCAAAGGTTCAAGAAAAAATTAATTCATTGGTTTACATTAGCTGTATTGTTGACAAGTTGTTGCACTATCAAAATTAAAATGTGAACAAAGAATAACTGTCACAAATTCTTACTAGCTTAAGTAAGGTTTTTGTATGTTCGTTTAAAAATATTTATCAATTGCCGTTTCCCATGATTTGAAAAAAATGATTTTCTCTCAACTGAAACTGAGCCTAAACTGTCCACTGTATATACCTGTATTTCAAGGAGACATGACTTTTAGTGACCAGCAGTATTTGACTAGAATATGAACCTGGACTGGTTACAGTCTGTCTACATAGAAACCTGGACTGGTTACAGTCTGTCTATATAGATCAAAGTGTTTGTACAGGTTCATTTACAACTACAACTTAAAACTTACTTTTCCACCAGTAATTCCCCTTCTTCCATCTGGTATAACATTTTCTCATGCTGCTTTTCTTCCTCCTGTAATTACAATCATTGTATATTCATCATAAACTCACTCAATAATCACCATTATATCATCATAAACTCCCTCAATAATCACCATTATATCATCATAAACTCACTCAATAATTACCATTATATCATCATAAACTCCCTCAATAATCACCATTATATCATCATAAACTCCCTCAATAATCACCATTATATCATCATAAACTCCCTCAATAATCACCATTATATCATCATAAACTCCCTCAATAATCACCATTATATCATCATAAACTCCCTCAATAATCACCATTATATCATCATGAACTCCCCCAAGAATCACCATTATATCATCATGAACTCCCTCAATAATCACCATTATATCATCATGAACTCCCTCAATAATCACCATTATATCATCATGAACTCCCTCAATAATCACCATTGTAACATTATAAACTCCCTCAATAATCACCATTGTATCATCATAAACTCCCTCAATAATCACCATTGTATCATCATAAACTCGCTCAATAATCACCATTGTATCATCATAAACTCCCTCAATAATCACCATTATATCATCATAAACTCCCTCTACAATCACTACCATTATATCATCATAAACTCCCTCTACAATCACTATCATATCACCATAAACTCCCTCAATAATCACCATTACATCATCATAAACTCCCTCAATAATCACCATTATATCATCATAAACTCCCTCTACAATCACTATCATATCACCATAAACTCCCTCAATAATCACCATCATATCATCATAAACTCCCTCAATAATCACCATTATATCATCATAAACTCCCTCAATAATCACCATTATATCATCATAAACTCCCTCAATAATCACCATTATATCATTATAAAATCACTAAAAAAATCAACATAATACCATCATAAATTCACTCAAATAATCTCCATGATATAATCATAAATTCAATAAGAAGAACTGTCGGATGACAGTATTGGCTTGACTATTCAAAAATTGTCACAAGGGTCTTTTATTGAGTATAATAATGCTAATTACCTATGAATACATCAAATTGACCAAAAATGTACAAAGGCTTGTAATTTTGATGTTTTATCAAGTAAATCACTGCTTTATTATAATGAATGCATAAAAATGTCCCAAAAAAGGCACAAACTCTTCAGTAGTTATGGAGATAACAGCTTTCAAGCAAAACTTTACCATGAATTTCTAAGTTGAAAAAGGGGAGAAAAATCAGCCTAAATGCAAGATAGAATTATGGATCTTGGTCAGTGACCTACAATTATGATTCTAAATGCATACGTGAAGTTTTAAATAAATATCTTTAATAGTTATTGAGATATGTAAAACTTGCATGTAAACATTAACCAAGAAACTAAGAAGAAAAGGGGAGATGAATCAGCCTAAATGTGAGTAGAGTTATGGAACTTGGTCAGTGACATACAATTATGACTCTCCAATTATGACCCTAAGTACATGTGTAAAGTTTCAAGTATTAATATCTTTTAAGACCTTTAACCTGTAACCAAAATTTCTAAGTTAAAAAGGGGCATAATTTTGTCAATATTGTAGGCAGAGTTATCCAACTTGTCAATCTGATGAACATTGTTACTATTAATAAGTATTGTAAATTTCAATTGAATATCTCAAGCAATAATTGAGATATTTGACTTTACAAAAAACTTTAACCAAAATTTCTAAGTTAAAAAGGGGCATAATTCTGTCAATATTGTAGGCAGAGTTATCCAACTTGTCAATCAGATGAACATTGTTACTATAAATAAGTATTGTAAGTTTCAATTGAATATCTCAAGCAATAATTGAGATATTTGAATTTACAAAAAACTTTAACCAACGCAGACGCCGGGGCGACTACAATAGCTCTCATATTCTTCGAATAGTCGAGCTAAAAATCACCATGAATTTGTGTGTACAATTTTTGTTTTTCCAAAATATCTTTATTTAGCAAAATGATTTAAAACTAAAAAGCGTCTAAAAGTTTTAAACCCTAACAGACTAAGAATTGCACTTAGTATTGATTTTCAATTCAATTTAGAGTAATTTATCATTAATTTTGAGTACTGGGAAATGATTTTTGAAGTGATGGTTCTTGACCTTTTTAAGTTTTGTCTGTACTGTTGCCTTAAATCAAAAGTTCAGTTACACTGTTGACTCCCGAAAATGAATGCGACTTACTCCCTGTTAGTATGCCACTTATCATTGTCTTATTTTGCCTGTGTAGTCCAAAACATTAGACATACTGTATATGCTTATCATAAATTATATGTTGAACAAGCTTATTAATTATTTGCATTGCCCAGAGGTAAAAAATTATCACAAAGCGACAAGTCTTTAGGACTATAAGTGATGCCGATCCAAGTGCATACATGTATGTTTGTATAATGTGCTGCATTAAACTTGGTGTTTTCTACATTTTCCAGGGACTTTCTTTTCCTTCTGATCAACTGCTCTTCTCCTTTTCTATCAGATGTTTTTTTTATTGGATCAAATCTGTAATATCTACCGAAATGTTTCGATTTGTTAACCAAAACAGTCTGTACCCCATTATTACACGCTTTGCTAACTTTGTATGTACATCAGACTGTTTATCATTAATCTATCAGGAAAACCAAGTTAGACTTTTTATTTTTTTTAAATAAAATCGGTAAAACTGAATGCGACCCTGCAGTATTTTTTTCCTCTGTACCGAAATATACCTGTGTACCAGTAAACTGTCCCAACCCCAGTTGATGAAAGCAAGATTTTCAAATTTCATGTTTCATGTTAAGCTTTTGAACCTCACTAGAGTACCTTTAATAATAATGATATGAGCTGCTCCATGACAAAACCAACATAATGGGTTTGCGGCCAGCATGGATCAAGACCAGCCTGCGCATCCGCCCAGTCTGATCAAAATCCATGCTGTTCACTTACAAACCCTGTAACAAGTAGAAAAATTGATAGCGAACAGCATGGATCCTGATCAGATTATTTTGGTTTTGTCATGACGTGGCTCATATATGCTGCATTTAATATTTATCGAGTTTGTCACAGTGTAACTCTCATTTTATTTAGATGAAATGTCACACTTTTAAAAGCAGCTTTTAGACTAACATTTAGACCTACATTTAGAGTTACAAAGTACAGAAATGCTAACATAGCTACTGAACTTACAAATGAAAACATTATTAACAAGCAAGCTTTACACTTCAAAGTCATTTATTTTCAGATAACCAACATAACAACATGTTTACCTGTTCAAACTTTTCCCACAATGCAGAGACATATGCTTCTCTCCCTTTAAAACCTCTCCAAAATCTTTGTATAGTAATAGCTGCTTGTGATGCTTTACTGAGTTGTCTCCCTTCATGCTGAAATAACAGAAAGTGTTTCCTTTGTTGACAAGTATTTTGCCATGTGTTAAAAACTTACTTTGAGTCATTCTGCACCCATTAATAATATTAAATCCATTAAATGATAAACTAAAATTAGAATATCATTATATGTCATTTGCTTTAATTTCATTCAAAGAATTCTTGATGAATTTCCTTTTTTTTCCAATTGAAAGGAACTCTTTAAAGCATTTATATATTAAATGTTAGGGTTGAACAACAAGTATAACAAAAAATATGATTTGAAGAGGATTTCAATTAGTCTCTGCAAATACTACAGGTGTGAAAATCTGGCCTCAATTTTCATAATTATCTAGTAAAATTAAATGAAATTTAAAAAAGAAAAAGAATTAAGCAATCATCGAATTTAGCACTGGCCCGGTGGCCCATGACCAGAAAAAATTAGTTGGGGCCAGTGAAAATTTTAAGAAAATTTTGTTAAATATATAGTAGAATAAATTCTAGACTGGAATTCGGGCCATTAAATTCAAAATCTTAAATTCAATGACTGATAAGGTCACATTATGTTGTTTATTTATACTTATATTTGTACAGTAATGTTAATAAATTATCATTCTAAAGTCCAGTAATGTTTACCTCATGACCAGGAAACACTTTTGCAGCAGCTGTAGGATTCACACTCTGAAATGTAAAAAAACAAACTTCATAACCAATTAAATACGTCACTTTTTCCATAATTATACTTCAGATATTTATCTTTTCGAAAACCTAGCTAAACAATGTTTTCCAATATGTTACAGATTTAGCTCCAATGAAGTACACAGTTTTGTGTGATATTTCTATATATTAGTTTTTCTTTACCGTTTAAGTTGGAAAACTTAAAAAATTATCAATTTTCCCTTTCTATCTATCTGAAATTTCACAAAAATTTGTTAATAATGAAAATCTATAAATTTAAAACATGCTTAGTGGCACCTGCCATAATAAATGCTTAAACATGTGTATTTACCTAAACTTTTTTGCATGGAATTATTTGTACAATAATATTTTATCTTTTTTTAAATAATTATTTTATTTCATTTTAATCTAGAAAGGCCAAAAATATATCACTTTTACAAATATACTTAATCACTTTCACAAGCCATCAAGCCGTTTAGGTGAATTCCCCAGAGGTAACCTCTGGAATGAGTACAGAAAACATGTAGTGTTTAGCTAGGTTTTTGAATTTATGAATTTGTATGTTTTTCTTTTCAACATGGGTCCTATTAAATACACTGATCTGTCTCTAAAAATTCTCAGTGACAAAGAATTTATATGGCAGATGTCATGTTTTGCAATTCAAAACTGTTGAACCAATGAGCATATTATGATACTTCTAGACCCAAATTTTGAACAAGAGCTTTCAGAAGGACAGCAACACTCAACTATTCTCAGTGCTTGATAGTAAAAGAGCCTTGATAGTGTAAAATTTTCTGAGTTAATAATAAAAGGAAAAGTTTTTCTTTAAATCCATGTTACAGTTAAAGGCCTTGGAGAGAGTCCTTAGTTACGCTCTCAAAGAAGAGTATAAAATTTCAACTTGTTTCAATAGAGTATGAAAATATCTGAGGTTGTATACAAACCTAAATATAAATTCTAAGTTGAAAAAGGGGCATAATTCTGTTAAAATGCTTGATACAGTTACCTCCTCCTGTCTACAGGTTGGGGTAATGATGGTGAACAAGTGTGCAAAGTTTCAAAGCCATATGTCAATGGACTTTGATAATATTTGAGGTATTACAAAAACTTTAAAATAAGTGGTTACGCCGACACTGACGCTCGGGTGACTACAATAGCTCTACTTATTCTTATCGAATAGTCGAGCTAAAAATAATTAGTGCCTGCAGGACAGGTGGCTTGGTCTTATTCTAACACATTGAATTTGACTATACCTCCAAAAAGTGTCTGTTTCTATCAAATCTTTCTTGTCTTATCTGATCAAAGTCAAGGTCCTTAAGACTTGTATCTACCTCTGTGTTGAGCCTTGGAAAATCTTCTGCCATAATCATGCCCTGTTATCAAGACATCAAAGCAAAAAAATTATAAATTTGTCTTCTTATTAAATTTTGATTCACCTTAAACAAAAACTTGAATGAATTAATGTTTCAGTGCTTTAAATTGTCCACACAAATGTGAATAAAACAGTTCTTAAGCATCTTTATTACTGTCTGTCATGAATTCGGGTGCTACCTTGAACGGAGCTAGATGTGTAGGCCCTACATGTACCTCAGCTTTTGAAATTTTATGGTATGTCTGAACAATCACTCAATCTTATTAAAAGTTATCTGTCTAATAGGCAACAATGTGTTAAGATAGGAAATATATGTAGTGATTATCAAAACATAATTAAAGGCGTCCCACAAGGCTCAATACTTGGACCGATTTTGTTTAATATTTTTATAAACAACATTTTCTTTTTCATAAATAAAAGTCAACTGTATAATTATGCGGATGATAACACTCTTTCTTACTCAAGCACTTGTAAAACAGACTTGGTTAGCACTTTAGAAAAAGATAGTTTAACTTTGATAGACTGGTTCTCAAAAAATCAAATGAAGGCTAACCCTGAGAAGTTCCAGGCAATAGCTCTTGGGAAGAAAACCCACCAGCAGAAAATTAATTTTAAATTCAAAAATATAGAAATATCATGTGACGATGAAGTAAAGCTGCTTGGTGTAAACTTAGATTTTATGTTAAATTTTAATTCACATGTGTCAAATATATGTAGGAAAGCCTCTAAACAACTGAATGTACTAAAGAGAATTGGTAAACATCTTATAATAGGTTAAGCAGACTCACAATATACTACTCTTTTGTCATGTCAAACTTTAATTATTGTCCTCTTACTTGGCATTTTACCAATGAATCAAACACTAGGAAAAATAGAAAAAAATTCAGGAAAGAGCTTTGAGATTTATTTATGATGATTTTAACAGTAACTATGATCAACTACTTGAGAAGTCTGACCTTATTTCTTTGAAAGTTAGGAGATTAAGAGCAATTGCTTTAGAAACATACAAAATTCTAAATGATATGTCTCCTGTTTATTTAAATGATTTACAACATCTTAAACATTCGAAATATAATTTTAGACACACCAATATTGTTGAGGTACCTTTACCAAGAACTGACAGATATGGTAAGAAATCTTTCCGGTATGCCGCTGCCAAACTTTGGAATCAACTTCCAGATAATTTTAGACAAACTTCATCTTTTAACCATTTTAGATCATTGATAAATACTTGGCAAGGGGAGAACTGCTCCTGTACTTCATGTAATACCACATAACCCATGTACATCATCAAAAAGAAAAAAAACCAAAATGTTGGCAGCGACATGCTGGATGTTTCAATTTTTTAGTTACTTTTGCTTTGCATTTGTTTTATAACTGTGCTTGATATGAGCTGCTTTTGTGTGCTTTTAATGTGATAGATTTATTTCTATTTTTAAGTGCTATGCTTTTGTGTGCTTTTATTGTAATAGATTTATTTCTATTTTTATGTGCTATGTATCATCTTTTATATACAGGTATAACTTGAATGTTTGTGTGTATGTTAATGTCAGGATTGATGTTCATTATGCATATTTTAACCTTGTCTTTCTATTGCTTAGTCCTAACATGTTTTATTTATTTATATATAATTTGCTCTTTTTATAAGTTGGTTTGTCAATGCATTTTATTGTGTGTATGCATGCCTGATGTTCCTCTGCTTAAATGTTTATGTGTCTTATATAAGCTGTGATGTGTGATCTTAACTTTTAGTATGTATATTAATGGTTTTTTTTATTATTAGATCTAATATGTATTACCTCTTACTTTTGTATGCTATTGATGAATGCTAGTACAGTGCTGTTTGTATACTCTATTTGTTAATGCAATGCTATTTGTCTAATTTTATCATAACCATTTTGTCATTTATCATATCTTAAACATGTGTTTTATATTATTGTAGTCGGTGTAAAAAGCTCATCAGAGCTTATGTTTATTGTTGATGTATCCGACTTATAAATTAAATAAAATTTACTTGACTTGACTTGAGCTAAAATAAACTTACCCGAATACTACAACACTCCTTAAAAAACATTTAACATAATTAACGAAAGAAATCATTTTATTCATTAGCGGTTTAAAGGAATAATTGAAAAGTTATGATCTAATTTGATAAGTCAATAGAATAATTTATTCATATATTTAAACGTAAGTTGTAATACAATTCATGAGTAACAGTTTATTTACAATTGTGATTTCCACGATTTTGAAATAAAATGCGGTATCTAAGGTCGGATGACACTAATTTATACCTGGACATTTAGAACACCACTATATAAATCTTTGAAAGAAACTGAATAATCACTTATTTTGGGTCTTTACTTATTTCACAGTTCAATGTGACTGGTGTTACATTGGTCAAAATCGACATATTTTAGTCATACACCTAAACAACACTGTTTTTAAAAATATGTAGATATTTATGCAAAATAAAACAACATTTTACTAATTGCTGAAAAAAGCCACAACAGTCGATTAAAATGTGAGCGTCATTACTTTGTAAATGTTTTTGCTTGTTGAAAATATATTTATAATTGAGCAATATACTATTTAGTAGTTTAACAGAAACATTAAAAAATACTAGAGTCTCACGCCATTTATCGTGATTTAAATGATGATATGTACTGTTTTCAAAATGACAGACAGGGCTATGTTCTACGTCTGGTCCATTAAATCTTATTTTGATTGAAGATGTTTTTTTTTTTGTTTCCTTGTGCCATACACATTAAGAACCGTGAACTAAGTCTGAGTTTTATAGCGGAGATCCATGTTATAACAATACAAGGTTTAACGATCCTGCATTGATTTAATGTCATTTATGACTTAATTTTTAGTATTTATGAAATTATGCCTTTAAAAATACAAAACATCAGGGAATCTAGTAGTCTATTTTAAATCATAACAGTTAAATCTAGATCTGCTAAATCTTTAATAATATACTTGTTCCCCATAGTCTATCAATAAAATAAATGACAATGATATTTCTGTTTAAACGTTTAGAATTTTCATTTACGTTAAAAACAGCAGTGACTTATCATGTCCCACAATTCAGTAAATGTTGGTATTACATGAATTTCATAGTGATAGCAAAATATTGGCATGATGATAATAAAAATGTGAAGAAATTTAACGGATTACATTTTATGGTACGACATTTTTATATATGTCTTTACTAAGGTATTCTAGGACAAAACAACTCTCGTGACCAAACCAATTAGCATGTAGAATTATTCAATTATGATCTTGACATGCAAATGACCTTAACTGCCAAGGTCAAATTGTAAAAATTTGCTTAAATTGGTCATAATGTTTATACACTGTCATTTAATCCATACTTGGACAAATAAACACTAAGAACATACTGTAGTCAATAAACAAGTGTTTTACAAACTGATTTGTTAATCACATTTCTGTATTGTCAAGCAAATTGTCTAAGGCAATACCCAGCACTACGTTTTCGTTCTTTGACCATTATTGAATATGATCTTGTATCATAGTTTGGGGACCTTTCTGTTGAAAATGTGTCAGAGTTAAATCGTATACATATACATGCACAGTGCGGTAACTGGAGTGCAGGTATCAGTTACCCGCACTCCAGATCATGCCCATTGATTGGTTCATTTTTGCTGGGGTTTACATATTGTGACGGCAGAGAAAGGGAAAGCGACAGAAATGTCATATTCAGATGTTCGTTCATTGGTTCATTTTTGCCGGAGTTTCATATTGTGACAACAGGGAGCGTGTTTTTATGTTTGACTATGATACAAAAGAGAAAGAACACCAAAACACTCGGCAATCTGATTAATACTCGGGGGCTACGCCCCCTCGTACAAATCAGATAGCCTTGTGTTTCGGTGCTCTTTCTATTACATAACCTACTTATGGATAAAGGATAACCTTTGAAATGTTCAAGTGACATACATGTCAATAATATACAATTGTATGTGTAAAAATTTATGTCCTTGTTTAGCAATAGATCAACCAGTCACAGTCATTATGTCTAAGGTGATAATAATATGTTCCCTTCACATCGAAAAATACAAGAGGCTTTCAATTTATTACATGAATCAGTTTTAAAACCTGCCTAATTATTTACTTGCATGTGTTTTATTGCAACAGATTCTAACCTGGAGCCAAAGCAATAGTAAATCAGTCAACACCTTTTTGGCCAGCTTTCTAAAGTATGACTGCTCAAGTTTGCTGCATTCGTCTTTAATAGCCATTTTTAAGACCGGACATAGTATAAATCTTACGTTTCTGTAGTCAACGTTTCAGTATACGCCAGATATCAAAGTCCATGGGAGCTTCATATGTGATTTTTGGCATCCTTTTTGCAGGTTATGTCATTGACATAGTCGCGGAACATCTTATTTGAAAAATGGCTTTAAACTTTTTCTATGTAATATTTTGCACTGATCTTACCCCTTTATAGATGTCTTGCCGTAATAACTAACTCCAACCAGGTGCAAATGCATCTCGTTTTACAAACTTCAGATTTTGGTCTGTCTCTTTATTTCGAACGGAGCAAATACGACACCAGCCGTAACTGTCGCCCATATAAAACAAAGCCTCATCTGTGGTGACAATGTTTTTTTCCATTTTCCACAGTTAAAGCAGCGCCAGATTAATGCTTATTTTCATGAAAATTTTGAAAATGAAATTAAATGTATAATATTGTATAGTAACCAAAAGGAAGCAATTTACACATTATCAGTAACACTTACAACCCATGTTTATTACAAAAAGAGGTCAAAATATGCAAAAATACTCTTACTGCGTTAGTAACGCAGTAGAAATTTAGTTAATGAAAAAATCACCATTATTAATCGCTCATTACATGTAAATTATTACTTTAATATTGAATCTTTCTACTTTTTTTAAAAAATTTAGAAAATCTGTTTGAAATTTTTTGCCCTCTGGGGGCTATAGAGCATGATCGAGCAGTGTTTTTATGGATACTAAGTCTATAAAGGTTTTTTTTCCTGAGTTTTGTTTTTAAAATGTTGCTATTATACTTGTTGAAGTGCTTGAGACATTCCCTACTTGGGTGCCCTTTTTTTTTTTTGGGAGTATTACCCGTAGAGTCGGAATAGTGTTTTTGTTTGCGACGTTTGGTAAAAGAAAAAATTCTACCGTTTTTTGCGTTGTTATTTCGAAAAGACTTTTTCCATGTGAATGCGATCCAAGAAGAAAAAACACTTTTTTCTCATTGTTTTTTCCCCTTGTTTCCAAAGTTTTGTGACAGTTTTTTCTTCAAAAGTCTTAAAATAATGCCCCCAACTAAATCATTTATTTTTGGTCTAATCATATTGAATTTTCAATTCACATGAGAACGGTAATGGTATATATATGATACACTACTTTACATGAATTAGTCGCTTTGCACGAGTTTTTGTAAGCTATAAGACCTTATAACGTGTTTTGATCGTGTTTTATAATAAATTACACACCTCTCGTACATGTAATATCATTGTATGCACCTAGGTCATATTTCATTGTACGGAATACCGTTAGAGCCATCGTGGATTTACGTTAAAATACAGAGGGCGACAATGCGAGAGTGCGGCAGTGCGATGACGACAATACGACAGTGCGATGACGACCGACAATGCGACAGTGCGATGTCGACAGTGCGACAGTGCGATGGCGACAGTTCGATAATGCGACAATGCGATAGTGCGATGACGACAATGCGAGAGTGCGATGACGAGAATGCGACAATGCGATGACGACAGTACGACAATGCGACAGTGCGATGACGAGCATCTGAATATGATATTTCCATCGCTATCCCTTTCTCTGTCGTCACAATATGTTAACCCCGGACAAAATGAACCAATCAATGGGCATGCTCTGGAGTGCGGGTAACTAATACCTGCACTCCTGTTAACGCAATGTGCATGTATATGTATACGATTTAACTCGGACACATTTTCAACAGCAAGGTCCCCAAACTATGATACAACTTAACAATAAAGGCTTAATGAGCGAAAATATTATAAAAATTTTCACACCAGTGACCTTGACACTAGATACCCCTTACTCCACAAAAAATACACGGCCATTAAAGGTATTAGGTTAACCATACAAGGTCCTATTTTTCAAAAAAAAAGGAATATAACTTGGGAAAATGAATGTCAGAGTTATATAACTTGGGCAATATCATTGAACTTTCTCTTAATATAAGGTAAAGTGTGGAAATTATGAAGCCCATAAGTATAAGGACAGTACTTAAAAAAAATTTCATCTTGCCGGTTTAGTTTAAGGGTATTCTTTTCCCAAATGCTAAAAAATGGGAAAAATTTTTGAAAAAAATTTTAAGGCAATAATTATGAAACCCTTGCGGGGAAATCAAGTAAAATTGGTATTGATTAATAAAGTGAAAAATTATGAAGCCTTTGAACGAGAAATTTTTTGGGAAAATAAAACATGTTTTAAAAAATTTTTTGGATCTTTCCATTTTTTTTTACTAAACCCCAAATTTTTTAGGCTCCCAAGGGAAGACTCCCAGTTTAGCTATTAACTGAAAAAGTTCAAATCCCCTTAAGGTAAAGGCTTTTTTTCCCAGGGGCTTTTGTATGTGTTTTTTGGCAAGCCCTTTCATGTGTTTTTAAACTTTTTTTTTTAAAATTTGGGTTTCCAATTTTTAAAGAATATAAGTCACTAATTTTAAGATACTAGGTTTCCGACCTTAGCTTGAGTTTCCCAAAATTTGGGTTTGAAGGGGCTGACATCGATAGGCCGTAAAAAATGTTTGGGGGGCCCCTCATAAATATAAGGCTCCCAATTTTGGGCCCCAAACTCCAAAGGGCCCAGGTGTGGGAATTTAAAGGTTTCCCTTTCCCACGGGGAGACAATTTGGGCCCCCCTAGCAAAAGGCCATAAAAAGGCCCCCTTTTTCGGGCAGCCAAACCCTTTTTGGTGTTCTTCTTCGGGCAATTTTTTCAAAAATTTGATTATAAAAAAGTACATGAAATTTCAAAAAAATGCAAATTTTGCTTTTCATAAAAAAAGTATAAAAGAAATTATCTATTTATTTGGGGTTAAATTTCGGGCTAAAAATCCAAACGCAAAACAATATACATTTTTAACAAGATGTTGTTTAACTTTCGCCAAAATTGGGGGAAACGAGTTTCCATAATAAAAAAATTCACCCCGCTTTCAAACAAAACCAAAATTTGTCTTGAGTGGCAGATTTTTTTTAAATTTAAAAATAAAACAAAAAACTTAAAGTTCAATCTTGCAAACATTTTAACGGTATTTTGGGCGGCTTTAAGGGTAAGGGAAAAATTCGTGGACAATTTAACTTTAAAGCAAACCTTTTAAGCTTAAATTTTGCG